TTGGGCCAAATAGGCTATTACCTGCTTTCATGCATTGTACCAATAAAAAACTTTACAATTTTTAATGTCTAATATGAAATCAAGAGAATACTTCATGACATGCAAAAATTACATGGAATTCAAACATCACTTTTCATAAAGTTTTACAGGAACACAAACATGCCTTGTCCACTTATATTTTGTTTCTGACTGCTTTTGCACTAAACCCCTAATCCAAGCCATGTGGCAGAAACTACATGGCCAGCCAAGGCAAAAATATCTACTCTCTGTCCCTTTACAGAAAAGGATATGCATTTTGGGTACAGAGCTCAGGCTGTAGAACCAGTCATTGCTTCCCTTATGGCTCTCTCACTAACAAACTGATATCTTGAACAGACTGCTTAGACTATCTTCAACTGTTTCCTTACCTGTACCAACCTTATAGCATTGCTGTGTGGACTAGCTGCATGTTAACCATTTCTGATATAATTGTTGCTGTTTTACTATTGCCATAATCATGCTAATACATCTTACCAGGCAGAGCACTCCACATGCTTGCACTTTTCTGAAAATCACTGTTGGCACTAATTTATAGTTTTATGTACTCTAAAAATTATCTTTTCATTAAAGTGGTCATAATATTTTTGAAAATTATCCTAGACTCCTTCCCCAAAAAAGACAATCATCAATCACTTTGGCATTGTGATGGCCATTAATTAAAAGTTTAGCTCAAAGAACGGGAATTTTTTAATTCTAATACCTTGTTCTATTCTTATATTTGAAAACCATTTTTAAAAAATGCATCCCAGTTAGAAACAGTGGCAAGCGAGATGATATATTTCAGATACTTCTCCTTTTCTGACAGATAATTAAAGTAGGACTCACAAGGGTCACATGACTTTCCCCAAGAACAGGTGACCCTTAATTAAAGTGAACAATCATTGACTTATATTGAGACCTCTGCTTTGCACTAGCCTACCTGCTGATTTTTCAAACGAAAGCTTTGAACTTACTCGTCTGACCTAAAAATCAAAAAAAGAGTTTCTAGTTGTACAAGTAGACAAATTACCCTGACAATTTCTCTTGGTCATGATGCTCTTATTTCATTTATAAATGCTACAAATACACCAGTTAATGCATTAACAATGAAAAGACTTGTTGAAGAGACTCAATTTATTAATGATTCAGCAGAACTTCCTAAAGGGTCTATTTGGAATTCATTTATAATTCATTTTGCAGCTTAGCTGTAGGTCCCACTGGACAAATATTTATCAAATATTACTCTGTTTTAAGTCTCCTCTTTATATTTATTTGTAGAAAAATTATTTCCCCAAATGAAGACTAAACTTCCTAAAAGCATCCATCCATCTGCTGTAATTTATTGTGCATGTCCTGACAAGGTGAAAATAAAGGACTTTCAGATATAATAGTATACACTAACTACCAAATAAAAGAATAATTATTAAATATCATAGCTAGCTATGAAATGACCAACAATCACAAAGAATACATCATACATAGTTATTGATAGTTGTCATGGTAATTAATAACCAACACAAGGGGAAAAGAGCTTGTTAATAACCTACTACGGCATCAAAAACTTTGTGACTTATCTTCATGATCTCTACATGATTAACATTTTCAATATGAATATAAGAATATCTAGATTGACTAGTACCAATGGACATATTAGAACAAGACTGTAGATAATATAATATAATATCCTGATAATATCGGTCTACAACATCAAATCCCCCAAACACTGAATATTCATAAGCTTTAATTCTAATGGCTAATCGCAACTACAGGATAATTGCTAAAATGAGCAAGCACTGGTTACAAAGTTAGAAACACTTAAAATCCAGCTCTTATACTAGCTGTGAAACGTTGGTCAAATTACGTAAATTGTCCATGCTAATTATTAAAAAGAAAAACACCAACCTGGAAAGAGTTGTAACTAGACTTACTGTAGTGTTTTTTTTTTTTTTCCCACCATATGGACCACTATAGAATCATTATTCTAAACAAGTGAAGCTATTAATTTCATAAATAAATTATAGTGCAATAAAAATAAAGATAAGTTATGAAGATAAAAATGATACCTCTAACTTATTTAATATATGCAGCAAAGTCTGCATTGAGTAATGAGGTCTTCTACTCGATTAGTACTACTTGTAAGACTTCTGAAAGCACTCAACACTTCTGTGACACCATACCCATTAACTACTGTTCCTACTTCTATTACTGTAACCACAAAACAAGTATGTTTTGTGGTTCTCACTCTCATGGGCTAGTGATCACATGTAAACTATGGTAATTCAGATTCTTTGGCTCTGAACAGATTCTTTGGCTCTGAGGAAAGCTAAAATTTTTAAAGAAAGAAACAAACAAATGGTGAAGACGTGAACCTGAATCTTCAAGACTCAAAAAAACAAATCTGAACCTTCAAATATTACTGCAACTATTTGGAAAACATTTTGATAGTTCCTCAAAATGTTAAATAAAGTTACTAATCAAACAATTTTACTCCTAGATAAGTTCCCAAATGAAAATTTATGTTCACATGAGAATACAAGAATGTCTATGACATTATTTAAAATAGCCAAAAAGTGGGAATAAGCCAAATGTTCATCACTGAACAAAGTGGATAAACAAAATGTGTTATAGAAAATAGAATAAAATGCTATTCTGAAATGAAGTATTGACACATGATAAACCTGGATGAACCTTGAAAACATTGTAAGAAATCACAATACAAAAAGCAGTGTTTTATAAGATTACAATCATATAAAATGTTGAAAATTGAAAAACCTACAGAGACACAAAGTAGATTAGGGATTATTAGGGACTAAGGGAGAGGCACAGAATAAAGAGTAATTACCAATTACCAGTGCACTTTTTTTTTCCCCCAGAGGGAATGAAAATGTTGTAAACATAGTAGTGATGACTACAACTCTACTGCTCCCCAAGTCCTAAAACACGTCCATTCCAAGATAGGAACATGCCGACAGTCTGATGCATGTTGGCAATTCCACATATTCTGAAGCTCACAGAATAATGAGTGCCACTTGCAAAGGCACATCTTATTGTAGCCTTAAAATTCTTAAAGTGATTCCATTATGGCCACAACCACAAAAATAACATTTTTGGTTCCCATTCTGCCCAAAGGACTACCAGGTACTTTTCAACTCTTTCCTCTAATAAAAGGCCAAGAAATTATCATAAAAGGAAAAGAATAAACAGAAGGTACATGAAAATGAAACATTTTTTTGGAAGAATCAACTAAATTCTTCCATTTTTTTAAATCAACATTGAGCTAGTAAGAAAGAAATATACTAAATTCACTTTAGAAGCTTAAGTTTTTCAACTGATATATTAAGGTAATGTGTTAGTGCTAATTCAATCACATAAAAAGCTGGCAAACACATTCAATGCAATGGGATACAGTAGCATGTATATTACAAAGCAGGATAGCCTATTACTGAAAATTGTAACTAAGATTTGGGTACTATTACGATTGAGCTTTTCCCATAAAAGCAATAATTTTATAATGAAAATCAAACAAGAATTCATAGAAAATACTAATGCCCATTTTCAATGACAAAATGTTGAATGTGTAACATAATTAAAATATTCAAAAGTCATCCTCAAAATTACCATAAGTGTAAAATAATAAAAAGTTTTAAATACATAAAATTTAAACACTATACTTAAACTTAAAGTAAAAGGTACAAAATGATGTAAAAATAAACTTAAAAAATTAAACTTAAAGTAAGACATCATTAATAAGTTATGTAGAAGAAAATACCCACACTATATTATTCCTGACCAGTTTAGCCTGGTCATTATTTTCATTTGTCAGAGGGATAAAGAACCCCGTCAATATCAGCTATTGATAATCTATGGCCAAATCAAATACTTAACTCTAAATTTTATTAAGATTATTCTTAATAAATATTCATCCTGATTATTCTCTATGAAATAAATTAGAAATTATGTTCATTAGGCAAACAGTACATAAGATTTCTTTTAAATTATATCAAACTGAATATCAAACTTAAATGCAGCTCCCTTGGTTGAGCCTCCGAGGTGGTACAGAGGTTAAAGTCTCAGCTATCAAACTCTCTCCAACCACTGTAGCATGAGTTCAAGTCCCCAACCAGGGAGCTATCCAAATGGCCCCGCAGACCCTCCTGTCTTGCCTGCTGCTCCCCTCAGCAATGTATGTCAATAGATCTACCTGTTCTGCTCCCCAGTCTCACTGGAGAATCCTCTCACCTGACCCTGCACCTCTGGCCTACACCCCAGTTCTTGTATGTATAAATTAAAAAAGTAAACTCTTTAAATGCACTCTCCTTGGTAGTGCCTATTAAATGCTAACTTTGATCTTTATATTACGATGAAAATAAACTATACTTAGGTGGAAAATAATTTGTGAGCTATCACATGCTGTCAATGTATTGAATTTCACTGGTTCTTTCAGCTTTCTGTATATAATTAATAAAAATATTTCAATTTGGGAAAATTTTATCTTGCTACTGGATATTTTTTTTTAAAAAACAGATGTTACAAGGACATTATAGAAATCTAATAATCAAATCTTCCTTTCAAATCTAACCTTCCATTTTAGCTAAAGTTATTAATAAACGTAGCTTTATTTATTTACTTTTGATCTGAAAAAGATTAGTGGAAAACAAAGACTTAACTATTCTTAGTAAGGTGTTTAATGGAAATTTCAAGAAAATTCTAATACCAACAAAAACAATGTCTAAAATAAAGCAAAAGGCTAATAAAATCTAAATAGCAAATCCAAACAAATTTATGAACAACCCTCTCAATCATGTTTAGCTAGCCCTTTGCACAGACACGTATGTCAAAGTTTATTTCTTCCATCGTGCCCAGAAATCAGTTTCTGTAGCTACCCTCTCAGGAAACATATATGGGGGAGTGTAGGGGGTTGGGGGGATCTACTGGGTGGTGTCAATATAATAATATAATCTAAAATAATCTAAAATGTGTACCTTTATTCTTTGGTCATCAACATCTGTAATTGTAGCAACACGAATTAACCGGGGGTTTCGTTTATCCACGACTTCAAGTTTCATATTCGGCAGAAAACCATGAGGCAGTCGCTGTAATGTCACAAGTACAACAGTCATACAAAATTCAGCATTTCAACAATTTGTGCTAAAATATTATTGTTCTGTAGTTCAACAAGACAGAAGTAGAGTGGAGATGCTTGCTTTGCCTTCTCTACATATTTACAACAAATTTATTTAAGGACAATGACCCTGAGTTATGACCAGATGAATGCTACCTGACCAATCAAGCATGAAGCACAACAGAAAGAGGGAGGAAAACCTGAGTCAGAGTCTTTAGTAAGACCAAGGCAGCGCAGGGTATGAAGCGGGATGGCTGCTACAGAGCCTCCCTGCTGTGAGCCCAGAGGCACAGGACACATCAGGGACTACAAAATACAAGGACTTCACTGGAGAACGGGGTACACAGAGGTGGTGTGTCGAAAGAGGGAGCACGACTGGGGAACCTTAGGAACAGGGTGAAGCCCATGCCTGTGGCTCCCAAGCTGGAATAATAGGACCCCAAAGAAATGCGAAGTATTAGATCAAAAATTTATGTCTTCTTTTATAAGAGGCTATGATTTGCAACCTGGGGCTGTGATATGGGAAAACGCCTGCCTTTGACCCTTCTCCCCTCTTCTCAGCCAAAACTGATAAAACCACCAATTACTATGATTAACCAAATTCTGAGCTATACTTCAAAGGCAAAGAGAAGAATGCCTGACTTGTTACTCCATCTCAACTGTCTTTCCTATCCAAAGCTGCATCGATTTTTCAACTACAACTGAGAGGTTGGGAATAGTGCAAGAGCTGAATAAGGGGAAGGGATCAATGTGTATGCCACTACATACTCGGGTACCCACTGCACTGTAGGAAGCCTGACAATCCACGCTCACTGAAGATGACCATTTGTGTCCTACTGACTTGTTTCTTAACCACTACTGCTTATCAGCACCCGTGCTCCGGTCATATGAACAAGTGCAGAAGCAGCCATCTATGAATTAACACCTAGGATCCTGGGTTTAAAACCTACGGTTATTATCCAGTAACTTGTAGGCAGTGTATAAAGCCCATTTATCAGATAAGCAGTGTTCCTAATAAAAATGAAGGGACAGGCCCTCCCTGGTGGCGCAGCGGGTTAAAGCACAGCACTGAGAATCTAAAGCCGCTTCTGCATGAGTTCAATTCCTGCCTGCCCCGGAGGTGATCACATGGCGTGGCAGACCTCTCCTGACCTGCCCACTGCTCCCCTCAGCAGTGTACTTCGTCGATCTGCCTGTTCTGCTCCCCACTCTGTCTCTGGTGAAGCCTCTCACCGCCCCTGAGCCTCTGGCCTGTACCCCAGTTCTGTATGCACAAATAAATAAATCTTAAGAAAAAAAAAATGAAGGGACAGAAAGGCATACCACCAATCCTGGAGCAAAAAACAAAAACCTGTGAGAGGTCTCAATCCATTAGAATTATGAAAGGTGATGAGTTTACAACCTGCTTTCTGAATTAAGAAAAATTGGATAACCTAAAGCAAGAACATTATAAAAATATGAGACTACTGCCAGTTGAATTAATGGGTTTAAAAATACCATCATGTTTACAAAATAGTGACAGCAAACCTTAATGGAAACAAATGCAGTCATGAAAAATCAGCAAACATGAATCCACAATTACAGAGAACATATGAACAGAAGGACAGACAGAAAAAGGAATTAAAAAAAGAGAAAACCCCATAAAAGATCTTTGGGATAACTGAAAGATAACTAATATCCATTTCATGAGGGTCTCAGAAGGAGACAAAAAAGGGGAAAATTTAAAAAAACAAACTGCTGAGAACCACCTCAATCCAGGAAACAAACCACATGTCCAAAGCAAAAAGTCCCAAGCAACATACCAGACTGGCACTCCAACACATATTATAATAAAACTTCAAAAGCCGGTGATGAAAAAAGAAAACTAAAAGCATTAAGAGAAGTAAGAGGGAAGGGACCCAGGAAGGGATGCATACCGTACTATCCATAACTTCTCAAAGGAAACCTTACCAGCAATAAGGGAAAAAACGAGAAACTTAACGAGAAACTTTCTCATTAACTTAATGAGAAACTTAACAAAGAAAAATATTTCAAGATTAAAATACTTTATCCCGACTGACTGTCATTCAAGACAGAGTAAGGGCATGGGAGCTTCACTCAAAAATAAAAAAAAAAAAAATTAAGAATATATCAACACCAAGTAGATTTTGATGACTTAGTAACAGCGTTATTATAAAACAACAACAAAATGAATCTAGAGGTAACATAGACCTAAATTATATCACATGGAGGAGGGGCAGAGTAAAATGTGGTCCTCAAACTGAGTTTAAGATCAAACTGTGGGTTACAAGATACAGCCCATTATGCACAACTCTCGGGATAACCTCAACTAAGCCTCTGTAGAAGCAACACAAAAAAACAAAAGAAATGGAACCTACACAAAACATAAGAGGTATGTATAAAAATACAAAGTAAAAACAAACAAGAAAACAAAAACCTAGTAACAAAATGGCAAAAAGCCTTGTGACCAATAATCTTTGACACAATTTAAATTTATTTTTAATGGCACATAGACCTTTATGTACATTATTTTATACGGTTCAGACAGCTGGAGAGGAGAAGACACTTCAGGTCACATTGCATAGCTAAATCAACAAAGAATCACAATTTCATTAATAACCATAAGGTTCATAAAAGAATCTTATTATACCTAATATATTGGTTTGATTTCTTCTTATTTAACTAAAATTAACCTTATATACTAAGAAATGTCCACTACTGTCATTGCCAAAGTTCTTATTGTATGAACCAGAAAGCAAAATTACTTAATAAATAATTAGAAAGGATAATGACGCTTTATAAATCCAATTACTACAACATGCTTGAATAAAAGCCACAAATTTCAACTGTTATATCATTTTAAGTTCATATCATAATGTCATTTAAACCCATGTCTTGTGCTCCTGGTTACTTCCTCTGTCACAAAACATTTTAAACTGTATTTATCTATTATTTCTTCCAAAGTTTAAAACACTAAGAATCAAAACTTTATAATGATGAACACTTAGGAAATACTAAATAAAATGGAAAGGGGGATATACATTACATTTTAATAAATCATTGAAATTAAGAAAATTTAATTTAATTTAATCAAAGTCAAAAGACAGCTGTTTAGTTGTCTGACAAATGTTTACAGGTCAGCAAAAAGTTTCATTTTGAAAGCTATCATACATTAAAGTGTTCAAATGACCATACTGAAAATGGAAGTATACTGAATTTCTCAGGTCTGAAATTGGTAATAAGAAAATAAAATTCTCATAATACATGACTAATAAACTATGAAATCTTTCTCCAAAATATGGTTTGTGGAAGCAGGTCTTGTATATAAAATGCATTATTACATCTGCTGAATTGGAGTGTGCTGACTGTAATTAGGCCTCTGCTACCTGAAAATTTTTGTTTTGACCAAGGTCACTATCCTGACAACAAAGGTCATGATTTCATATTGCAGATGTCACAGATCTACAGCTCGAGGTGAATCCATAACGACACCATCTCAGAGCTTGATGTTGCCTTTTTAACTCTTTTTGTAATTTAATTTTCTTCTCTGAAAAGTGAAATTTTCACAGAAAGTGAGAGAATGAGAGAGACTATAAGCAGGTGGTATTTTCTGCTTATTAGATTTGGAATTCCTAAAACCCTTTCTTTCTACCACTCCAGAACTTCTAGCCTTCTTAATTTGATTATATTGCTTTCCTCTAATTCAGCCTACTATAGTCAAATTTTTAATGAAAAAGAATTTTATATCAAGTCCCATTTTTATCCTAAGAAACCTTTCAGTATATGAAGTGATATGTAGTAGCCCATGCTATAAACTTCTGACTGAAGAGTCCTCAGGGAACCTGAAGTACACATTTAGGATTGAAAGGGAACAGTGTTTAAAAACCACCAGTGTGGAATATAAATATCACTTATATAATGCACTTCATTTTACAAAATAATTTATGCTTGATTCAACCCTTGAATTAATATACGTACAAATTTTAACTTTAAAAATCAAATACTAAAAGCAAGTATGTCCTTCAGAATAGATTAGACATATAATATACCAAGTATCTACCTATTTTATTTTATTATGGGATCACTGCTCTTCAAACAGCTCAGGAGACTGAAAGTGCAGAGATCCCAGTAATAATAGGAGACAAGAAGGACTCAATCAACAGCATCTCTCATCTGGGGCTTCAGTATTTTTCCAGGAGGGAAATGCCATCTATATTCGTGTATAGGAACTATAGTATATGAGTCAGTGCCTTGTAATTTTAACTTAAATCAAGGCAAATTGGTTATGAAATGATGTTTGAACTTTAAAAAGTACAATACTTTTAAACTGCCAAATGAAAGCAGGGCTCAACACAGATATTGTTTAAAGGTGAAAGTATATTTAACACAAACTTACCATTTTAAAAACTTTGGCAGGAACTGCATTAGTTTGAGTAGCTTCCAGATAGTCTGTCCAGGAAAAGTTTTCTGGATCAGGATAACCTGAAAATATAAATAAATATAAATATCAAAGGATTATTCACTGATACTCTCATTTCCATGTACTTTAAGACATTAGGTAACAACACAACCTATTGTTAATTGAAAAGTGACTATATAACAGCACCTGTGCTAAGAATTCACATATATCATCTATATTAAGTCTCTAAACATTCTTAAAACCCTTCCTACCAGAAGCATGTGCCTTAATTGGAATCCATCCAGGAGTAAAAGTGGTATATTGTGAGAGCTTGGTTTAAATATCGATGCTATATTACTTACCATATAAAAGCAACTATAATGTTCATTATCAATTGCAATTTATTCAATACAGAACTGTTTTCCCTTTTGTACACACTACATCTTGCCTCAATTCTTTTTATCAAAACTTTAAATTATCTGCCATCCTATTATTTTGTTTACATTTATTAATAAAATTCTGTCCATCATTTTTGACTTTTATATAATTGTTTAAGTGTATCTATTTTAAAATTCTAAATGTATTTCAAAATTATTTACTTTTACTTGCATCCCTGGCTTATCTGAATTTTATAAAACTACTTTAAGCAGACCTGTTTTATTGTTTTTGGAAGGTTAGGTTTATTAGAAGAAAGGTAGAAAAGATTGCGCAGACCCACGCAGGTAGAAGGAGATGGTAAGCTGAAGTGTTTTAAAATTCCCCTTATTTTGTGTTCTAGTCTATGAGTTATGTTACATACCTTATGTTTCAAAAGCTACTTCTGCACTTGCTACTATGATACAGTTCATATATCTCAAAGCTGCCCAAACTCATTCCTTGTACATTACCGTATGAGTTCTGACTATGTGCAGACCTGGCCCCTTCTGCGTGGGTGTCTCCCTCTCCCTGTGCCAGTTTCTCACCCAGGGACCTGATCATCAGATTCAGTGGAACAGTGAGACAAAAAGGCATGGTAGGTTGAGGAGTGAATGTACAGGGACCAGGAAAAACAACTAGTCATCTACGGTCCCTTAAATCTGACATACTGCTGGAAGAGAGAAATCTTTCTCCCTTTTAACATTTGTAATACTGCTTTAAACCATTCTTAAGCAACAAATGCCCCTGTGCCATTCTCCAAACATGAGCTGCCAATATGCAAAGAGAGAAAACATGCATGATCTATATACTCCATGTTCGATGAACCCAAGGAAGAGAAGAATATCTTACAGCCTAAAGAGGCTTCCAAAAGCCACCTACAGTCACTGACTTTTTTTAGCCCCTGCCCTGAGTCCTGTGATTCTTGGAAAACCAGAAATAGGGTTTCAGCGCAAGAGTGCAGCGAACAAATCCAGTCGAACAGCCTTGTGGCAAGACCTCGAAGGAAGCTTTTCAAAAGTTTGAACTCCTACTTCGAAGAGAAAAGAAATACATAAGCCACCCTTTCTCCACTTGTCTTTAACTTCTTCGCTTATCTCAAACAAAAACAACCTCTACCTGCCTTTCATTTACTGGTACACTTTATATTAAGCACTCCATTTACATTAGTTCATTTATTCCTTATATATGCTGTAAAGTACACTTTTTATTCTCACTTATAGGTGAAGTTCAGAAAGTCTGAGCAGCTTGTCCAATATGATACAGCTAGGAAGTGAAAGAAACGGGCAATTTGAACAATCACCTGGCTCTATTACCAACATTAACCACAGCCTCTGGCTAGTATTACACCCCAAGCATCCTCCACTCCAAGGGGTACATCCTTCTAGGTTTGAGGATTGAGAGTTCCAGCTCCCCCTGGAGGCCAAATCTTGGTATAGTTACAGTGAAAGAGCAGGAATGAACTCAACAGAGACCAGTCATCTAGTCACCTATGCCCTGCCCATTCTCTCTGCCTGCCTTATTTTTCTCTACAGCATTTATTATTAGCACCTAGTAAACATTACCACTTGTTTTACATATTTAAAATACTTCTATTTCCTTCACTCTTACAACAGGTCCTAGCATTAAGTTGCCATATTTGGTAATTATTTACTGAATGAATGAATTGTATTTCCTAACATTGTGGTTCTCAAGGATAACAGAGTTGTGAGTTTAAATAATAATGGAATAATGCCAAAATGATGAAAAGAACTCTGATATTATATGGTTTTCTTGCTAATGTTGATATTATCAGAGGCACAATTAGAACAAGATAATGTTCATTTATCTAAGATTCCAAACAACACTGCAGATTGGATAGCACCAAGAGAAGGTCATCTGATTTGTGGCATTTGAACAAGTAAACATAGTATGCCTTAATTGTTTGTTCTATGTGTAAGTGTGACATTGGTTACAGACTACTGATTTACAGCATTGTCAATGGTTTTTCCTCAGGAGCACCAGACTCAAGCAGAAACCTAATTTCTCCACTGAACATCCTTTCTGAAGAATTAGGTCATGAATAAATAGCACAAGTCCTTGACTTGCTGCCATCCTAGTCTAGGTGACCTGTCCCTTGGAGCCTTCAGAACCTTAGCATCCAGAATTATACCAGTGGCCAGTGCAGGAATCGAAAATCATTGGAGTGCTAGCACAAGGAATTAAAAATGTTTATTGAAGTAAATTACATTGTAACACTGTATGTTTCAGGTGTGCATCATATCAACATCTGTATGTACTACATTAAATTCACCATTAAAAGTCCATTTCTATACTTCACAATACAAATGACCTCCTTTAAAAAAAATCATTTATTGATATATACAAGAACTGGAGTACAGGCCAGAAGTGCAAGAGGTGAGAGGATTCACCAGAGGCAGAGTGGGGAGCAGAACAGGCAGATCTACTGAGATATACTGCTGAGGGGAGCAGCGGGTGAGACAGGAGAGGCCTGTGTGCCATATCGGTCAGCTCCCTGTCTGAGGATGCAACTCATGCTGTAGTGGCTTACAACAGCTTGACACTGAGACTTAATCCCTGTGCCACCAGGGAGACCCACAACTGACCTCTTTCAACAAACCATCTTCTCCCATTCTTTCTGGTGAACCATGAATTAGCCCTTAAAAAGACTAAAAGTTTATTTTGTTTTATTTAGTTAATTCATTTGTTTTCCTTAGGCACCACATAAGTGAGATAGTACAGTATTTTGTCTCCCCACACCTCTTCTGTATTTCACTAAGCCTAATACTTTGAAGGTCCATCCATATTGTTGCAATTGGCAGATTTTTTTCCTGTTTCAGAGAGCTATCGCCAAAATTAAAGGTAAATAAAAGCTAAACCAGTTGGAAAAGAATAAAACTATATTTTCAAATAAAATCATCATATCCCAAACAATATACATAAGAACTGCTGGAACTAATAAGTTAGTTGCAGTCAAGTGAAGTTTTAATATACAAAAGTCAGTTATATTTCTAAATGGCAGTAATAAATAATTGAAAGTTAAAATTTCAAAAAAGGATCAACATTTATAACATCTGAAACACTTATTATTTAGGGATAAACCATGGAGTATTGGTATGAGAAGTTAAAGCATGTTTAAACAAAGACATACAGCATTTTTATGGATTAGAAGGTTCAGTAGTATTAGGATAATTTATAAATTCAAGGAGTTATTTTTAAAAGACACTGAGAAACACTTATAAGGAAATATTTTAAAGTAATACCTTGTAATTTATAAAAAATAAAAATTTTAAATAACAGTTTGGGAGGACTGATACTAGCTAATAAAGACTACTACGAAGCTACAAAAGCATGACAAGATAATGTGTATGTAAAATAAGGATGTAATTCAATGAAACAGAAGATATCACAAAATGTATAAAGACAATTCAAAATAAAAATTATAACAAATAATTAGAATAGAAATCCAAATGTTTAAAGTCAAATCATCAAACCTTGACCCTACAATGTACTATATATATAAAGATATCTAAACACTTCAAAATGTAAAACCACAGAACATCTGGTAACCTTGGAATGTGTAAGTATTTCTTAGACAAGCCATAAATAAGATGAAAAGAAAAAAAAATGATTAAGCTCTTCAAACACTACTGTTAGTAAAGTGACAAAACAAGTGACAGACTAGAGAAAACTCTAGAAAAATACATATATGGCAAAGGAATTTTGCCTCGACTTCAAAACTCAAAAATAAGAAACCAATTGATCTTTTAATAGATGAGATTTGCATACATACTTCACCCAGAAGATAACATGGAATGATAAAGATAGTTAATCACAGTGGGGGGGGTGGAGGAATGGAGGGGTGCAAATTAAACCACACTAAAACTAAAACATCACTGAGAATGCCAGTGCTAGTGTCCATGCACATCCACTAGAACTCACGTATTCCTGGTAGGAAAGCAAAATGGTATAGCAAAGAAAGCAAATAGTATGGCAGGTCTACATAAAATATGGCCCTGCAATCTTACTCCTGATGTTTACCAAAGAGATCTTAACCTGAACATAAATGGTAAGCAGATAGAATAATAGTTAAAAACTAGAAATAACTTATCCAGCAATGGATAAAATGAAAGTCGTGGTACAGCTGTAAAATGGGACACTGTTTAACGAAAGGAATATACAGCAGCAATGATGCATCCCGATAGTATTATGCCAAATGCAAAAAGGCAGACACAAACAGCTGTTTCTTAAGCTATCCAGAGTGCCTTACAATTCTTATGAATTTTAGAGGATCTATTTTTATTTCTGCATAAAAACATCTTTGGAATTTTGATTTGAAGGCTGAATCTGCAGGCCAGTATAGGTATCATACCATTACGATTTCCAATATATGAATATGGGATGCCTTTCCATTTATTTATGCCTTCTTTAATTTTTTTAAGTGTTCAGCATTTTTTTCTGTATAACATTCTCTTTTTCTTTGATGTTGCTATAAATGGGTCTTTTTTTCAAATTGTTCATTGTTCATACTGGGAACTGACTATTGCCAATATGTTGACTTTGAATCCTGTATTTGTTGGATTAACTTATTCTAAAATTTTTTGTTGGTATCTTTTAGGTATGCTACATGTAAGATTACACCATTTGTGAGGAGAAACAATTTTATATC